GATGGGCCTGGCCTGCCCTTTTTTTTTTCTTCTTTTTTTTTTTTTGAAAAATCCTGACGGGTTCATTTGCACCCTTCGCACCCCCCTGGATCCGCCCCTGCACACACACCACACACACCACATACACCACACACACCACACACACACCACACACACCACACACACACCACACACACCACATACACCACACACACCACACACACACCACACACACCACACACCACACAAACACCACACACCACACCACACACCACACACCACACCACACACCACACACACCACACACCACACACACCACACACACCACACACACCACACACACCACACACACACCACACACACCACACACACCACACACCACACACACCACACACACACCACACACCACACACACCACAAACACCACACACACACCACACACCACACACCACACACACCACACACCACACACACCACACACACCACACGCACACCACACACACCACACACACACCAAACACACCACACACCACACACCACACACACCACACACACCACACACACACCACACACCACACACACCACAAACACCACACACCACACACCACACACACCACACACCACACACACCACACACCACACACACCACACACACAACACACACACCACACACACCACACACCACACACACCACACACACCACACACCACACACACCACACGCACACCACACACACCACACACACACCAAACACACCACACACCACACACCACACACACCACACACACCACACACACCACACACACCACACACCACTTGCTAGTCCTCTTCTGCGAGACCTCTTTACCTTGCGCGCCCATGGTGCTCGCACTGCAGCCACCACCCGTGGCCAAGTCTCTGCTGCTCTTGTTCTGCCCCCCGCTAACACCCGATATGGCTTTAGTGCAATTTCTTATTTGGGCGCTACCAGGTGGAATACACTTCCACCAGCTTACCGCATGTCTAGTTCACCAGCTGAATTTCGCTCATCCATCAAATTATACCTAGGGTTCCCTGTAAAAAGGCGCTGACGCCTGTTGGGAATTCCCTAGTAAAAGAAGAATAAAATTTAATAATAATAATAATAATACCACACACACCACACACCACACACACCACACACCACACACACCACACACACACCACACACACCATACACACCACACACACCACACACACACCACACACACACCACACACACACCACACACACCACACACACCACACACACACCACACACACCACACACACCACACACCATACACCACACACACCACACACACCACACACACCACACACACCACATACACCACACACACCACACACCACACACACACCACACACACCACACACACACCACACACCACACACACCACACACACCACATACACCACACACACCACACACACACCACACACACCACACACACACCACACACAACACACACCACACACCACACACCACACACACCACACACACCACACACACCACACACACACCACACACACACCACACACACACCACACACACACCACACACACCACACACACACACCACACACCACACACACCACACACACCACACACACCACATACACCACACACACCACACACACACCACACACACACCACACACACACCACATACACCACACACACCACACACACACCACACGCATCACACACCACACACACCACACACACCACACACACACCACACACCACACACACACCACACACCACACACACCACACACCACACACACCACACACCACACACACACCACACACACCACACACACACCACACACACCACACACACACCACACACCATGTCGCGAATTCGATAATACGTAACATTCGCGAATGCTAAAATAACTCAGTTTGAATGTTTCACGTAACTTTTCTCCTTTTTTTGTTATCGCCATATTTGCCATGGCGATGTGCAGTGCTGGAAGTTTTTTCATGCGCATGCTTGATCCTTTGGCGATCATTCTTTTGGCTTGCTGACAACACTCGAGGAGTTTCAGTTTTCTTATCCTAATGGTACGTCTGACGACGATCAAGTCCAATTGCACATCAGAGGCTCCGCTCCATGTAACACTGTAGTGGCCCTACATTTTTACTGCATAAATAACCAGTTTTCAAAGCTTTTTTTTTTTTCTTTCGTTCCTACACCATAACACGCATGCTCGGCCAGACCTTCCTCGGCCTTGTTTTTACTGCATTTTCTGCGTAGTTTGCATTGCATGCCTCTTCGAGTTTTTCCAAAATATCTCCACGATGGACGCTGTTTTGGATTTGCTGCATACCCTGGCGCAGCCAGAGGTACAATCTGCCATCGCGGCATCCGCCCACTCCCGCGGAAAACAAATAGGAGACACCGTTTCGGGGAACGGTATACAAATTTCCTCAAATTCCACACCCACGGGCGGATTAGAAACTGGTCGTGGCACCACCGCAGCCTCTGGCGGTCAAGAAATGGAGGAGGCTCGGAACTCTTCCAACAGGGAAGGGAACCAGGATGACTCTCGGGTAGACGGCGGGGAGCCTTTTCGTTTTGTCTCATTGGCCGAACGTCGTTCGGCAAGCCTCGGTTTTTCCACGGACCACCATTCCAGCAATGGCGGCCGGGGCCATATTAGGGGTGACGTCACTGACGTATCTGGGTCACGTGATTTACGTACAGATAGATCTAGATCATGCTCACGGGACAGATCTCCACCCCACTCACGATCTAATCGATCTCCCCCTCGTTATCGTTCTGCTTCATGTGAACGACGTACACGTACTCGCCATAGATCGGCTGGTGCTACACGTACACGTAGATCTAGATCTAGATCTCAATCTGCGGACAGATGTCGGTCAGGGTCACGCTCGGGTGCTACGCACGAGTCCCGCCTGAGTGCCCGGGGACGACATGGCCATGGGTCACCCAGACGGCGCGAGTCGCACCGTTTCACCAGGCACCGAGATAGTTCTGGCACTAGTTCTAGCTCTGGTACATCAGAATCTGACGATAGTGACTTCGACAGTCCTGGTGGCACATGTCCGTCATCCGACGACTCCGCTGCCCAAGAGCATCGCCGTGGTAGCGGCGCGGGCTTCGATCCTAAGGGGTAAGTGGACGACTCTGTATGGTCTCCCCCCTCGCACATGGCCTCGTACCTACGGGAGCACTGCCGTGGTTCCCTGTCCTTCGCTGAGCGTCGACGGGAGAGGAAACTGTGTCCCCGACCGGACGTGGAGGAAACGCGATGTCCACGCGTGGACCCGTTCTTGTCGGATGTCCAGGGCCTGGCCAATGCCAAGAGAGCGGATAGAATGCTGGCCAACATCCAACAAAAGGTTACGGACGTTTTCCGTCCCCTGGCCGCGCTCTGGGCTGCTATTGAGCAGGGCCGGCCGGTCCACGAACTGACCGAGCTGGTCCAGATGGTGATCGTCATGACGGGCGACGCCTCGAATGTATTGTCGGAGACACGCCGTCAGCGCCTCATGGCAGCGCTGCCAAAGAGATGCCCGAAGAGCCTGCTGCAGGGCTTGCGTCCTTCCGGTGATCTCCTCTTCGGTGATGGATTTTCCCGGGAGTATAAACGGAAGTGCCAGGAAATGGACGTATTCCAGCCACGGCCTTCTGGGCGGCGCCCGGGGACCGCACAGGACCGGTCGCAGCCTGCCCGTCCTGACCGTTTTTCTGGTCGTACCGTGTACCGGTCAGATCCAGGGCGGTTCCGCCCTTATGACAGGGCAGGACGGGGTCATGTCACCCGCCGGCCTGAGGAGCATTTCCGCCAGCCAGCAAAAAACGGCCGGGGCCAGCCCTTTCGCGGGCGCCCTCGAGGTCGTTGACGACCTCCCCCGTGCCTGGCTGCCTCACGGAAGCCCCTACCCCCCAGGTAGCGGGTCGATTGGAGCATTTTGCGGCAGCCTGGCGAGACCTAACGCAGGATGCGTGGGTGTTGAAGACCGTCTCAGGGTACTGCTTAGACCTCCACACCGTTCCTTGCCAGCGGTCCGCTCCGACAGAGATGTGGTTCCCTCCCGAAAAATGCGCCATCGTCCACCAGGAGATAGAGGATCTCCTATCCAAGGGTGCAATTCGACCGGTGAGCCCATCTCCCGGCCAGTTCGTGAGCCGGTTATTCACCGTACCCAAGAAGGGTACCACCGCCGAACGTCCAGTCATCGACCTCCGCCACCTGAACGAGCACGTGCGGTACGAGCACTTCCAGATGGGGGGTCTCCACCTTGTTCCCCTATCCGTCCGAGAGGGCAATTGGCTCACAAAGCTAGACCTCAAGGACGCGTACTTCACCGTGAATGTAACACTGTAGTGGCCCTACATTTTTACTGCATAAATAACCAGTTTTCAAAGCTTTTTTTTTTTTTTTCGTTCCTACACCATAACACGCATGCTCGGCCAGTCCTTCCTCGGCCTTGTTTGAACGCGTTAATGGCCAAGATAAAGCCCATGGGCACTCCCCGGTGCATAAGTAAATGGGATGGGCGGGAGGGACTACAGTGTTACATTTCGCTTAACCTCTTCATGCAATTATGATTATACATCAGAACAGAGTTCCTTGTATAATCGTCAATTGCACATCAGAGGCTCCGCTCCATGTAACACTGTAGATTTCAACGCCAAATCAGAGGTGAAGCGAACACCACAAGACCGGTGAGAGGGACCAACGCAGGCCATGAAAACCCCCAACCGGGCATGCAGCACACCATGCACACCACCAAATCAGTGAGGAACAGGGTAAACTGGTGCCACGGAAACTTGCCGCAGAAAGTGACAAAAGGCCTGTCCAGAACAAGAACACAGGCGTAATGGCAAAAGGAAGAATAAATGAGGAAAGCCGTGTACTATACACATGCACAGATAGAACGGCATTGAGAAAGCCAGGCACAGACAGCAATCGGATTACTGAGGTAGACACAAAGTCACAGACTCAGAACCTGGCCAGGCCACCATTGGTAGCGCTACGGCGCAAGCACGGAGCGGGAGAACTGCTGATGTGCCGATGGGGAAGAGCCGCTGGTCTCACCCTCCCACGGCTTGAAATAGAAGCGCTGGAACACGGATGCGCAGCTCCAGTCAGCACATTTCATGATGTCCACTGTCGACATACCTTTACGCTTCGCAGCAGACGTAGAAGCGGCACGAGTGGAATGGGCACCAAACAATGATGTGTCCACACCAGCCTTGGACATAACCTGCTTGATCCAACGAGCAATCGTTGCAGAGGTGACAGGGTGATGCGGACGCTTCGTGCAGAGGAACAGATGTGCAGAAGATGCCTGCCGCAGGTCGGCGGTCCGACGCAAGTACTCCCTGAAGCACTCCACAACACAGAGTGCAGGAGACACAGGAAAGGCAGCAAAGGTGACAGGTCGGGCTGGTTCCGAACCAGGGCGATGCTGCTTAGGGGGTGTGAGATAGTCAAACACCACGCCCTCGGCAGAGAAACGATGAGAGTTGAGGCTTAGCCGGTGGAGGTCCGAAGAGCGCCGAGCAGCAGTCAAGGCCATCATAATGGCCAACTTGCCAGACAAGACAGGGAGAGACAGGTCCGTGTTGGCAGGCAGTTTAGAGAGCCAAGAAGTGACAATACCCACATCCCAAGTATGTGAGTACCGCGGCTGCGGCGGACGCTCTAGGCAGATACCACGGAGCAAACGCACCACCAACGGGTGCTGGCCAATGGGTGTACCATCCAGCTCAGGCAGGGTAGCAGACATCGCTGACCGATAGACATTCAGGGTACTGTAGCTGCGGCCGTCCTCAAAGGAATCGGCCAGGAACTGGAGCACCATAGCTAAAGATGGGCGAACGGGATCCACTGACCGTTGACTGCACCAGCCCAGCCACTGCTCCCATGCCGATGCGTAAGCGGCATTGGTTGATGACCGCCAAGAGGAGGAGAGGAGTCGCACGACCTGTGGAGAAAGTCCTGCTGCATTGAAACGCTGCTGGAGATAGGCCATGCGGCGAGGCGCAGGTGGCGGGATAGTACCAGTGGGTGTGGATGGTCCGAGGGTGAGAGTAGCAGGCAGTCGAATGTGGGCAGAAGCATGGGAAAATCGACCAACAGCTGCAGCAAAGTCGCGTACCATGGCTGCGTATCCCATACTGGTGCGACCAGTATCATCCGGCAAGTATGGAGTGAGGCCACACGATAAAGCACCCTGTCCAGTAGGCAGAATGGTGGGAAGGCATACACCGCGTCCTGATGAGGGAGACTCCAATTCTGAGAGAACGCATCTAGAGCGAGAGCCTCCGGATCCGGCCTCCAAGCATAGAAGGCGGAAAGTTGCGTGTTCAGTCGAGATGCGAACAGATCTAGCACCAAAATCCAAGGAGCTGCCCTCTGAATCCTGCGAAACAGAGCAGGGTCCAGGCGCCAGTCGCCGGACTCGGAGAGGGAGCCCCGAGAAGGATGGTCTGCTGGGTTCTCCTCGCTCGGCACATATTCCGCCTGGAGGCGGATATCGTGTTGGACCGCCCATCTCCAGAGGTCGCAAGCGATCTGGGACAGGAGACGGGAATGCGTGCCGCCTAAGCGGTTGATGTAGCTGACGGCTGTCGTGTTGTCGATCAACAACTTGATGTGCAGAGGACGGTACGAGGCCCGGTGATGAAAGGCTTTCACCGCGAATGAGGCAGCGATCAATTCCAGAGCATTGATGTGGAGATTGGCCTCGGTAGGGGACCATTGACCCCCAGTACTCGTTGTGCCGCACACCGCTCCCCAGCCGAGCAGGGACGCATCGGAGAATATGGTGAGCTGAGCGGGAGGTTTGAGAATCGAGCGACCATTCCAAGTTTCTAGATCTGCTGCCCACCACGTCAGCTCCGTCCTGGCTTCCGGCGTCAGGCGTACCGTGGCAAGGTAGCTCTGATGGCGACGAAGGGCTGCAATCTTCAACTGCTGAAGGTGGCGGAATTGCAGTGGAGCCAGAAACATGCCTGGGGAGCACGCAACCATCCTGCCCAGGAGTGAGGCCAATGCGCGGATGGACAGGTAGGGCTGGGACAGGGCTCGGTGGCACTCCTGCTGGAGTTCCGCGCCTTGTCGATCGGCACAGACATCGTCATGGCCACAGAGTTCAACTGAAATCCTAGGAGCTCGAGCTGTTGCGTAGGCTCGGGAATGGACTTCTTCCGATTGATTACGAAACCCAGAGATTCTAGGAGTTGAATGGCCTGCTGCGTCTGCAGCACTGCGGCCGGCCGTGACTCGGCAATCAGGAGAAGGTCGTCGAGATACAGGATGAGACGAATGCCCTGACGACGAAGAACACTGATCGGGACCTTCATCAGCTTCGTGAATACCCGGGGGCGCTGAACAGGCCGAACGGTAGGCACTGAAACTCGTAGAGTTGGCCCTCCCAACTGAAGCGCAGGAGCCGGCGGTGCTGGGGACGGATCGGCACGGTGAAGTACGCGTCCTTGAGGTCTAGCTTTGTGAGCCAATTGCCCTCTCGGACGGATAGGGGAACAAGGTGGAGACCCTCCATCTGGAAGTGCTCGTACCGCACGTGCTCGTTCAGGTGGCGGAGGTCGATGACTGGACGTTCGGCGGTGGTACCCTTCTTGGGTACGGTGAATAACTGGCTCACGAACTGGCCGGGAGATGGGCTCACCGGTCGAATTGCACCCTTGGATAGGAGATCCTCTATCTCCTGGTGGACGATGGCGCATTTTTCGGGAGGGAACCACATCTCTGTCGGAGCGGGCCACTGGCAAGGAACGGTGTGGAGGTCTAAGCAGTACCCTGAGACGGTCTTCAACACCCACGCATCCTGCGTTAGGTCTCGCCAGGCTGCCGCAAAATGCTCCAATCGACCCGCTACCTGGGGGGTAGGGGCTTCCGTGAGGCAGCCAGGCACGGGGGAGGTCGTCAACGACCTCGAGGGCGCCCGCGAAAGGGCTGGCCCCGGCCGTTTTTTGCTGGCTGGCGGAAATGCTCCTCAGGCCGGCGGGTGACATGACCCCGTCCTGCCCTGTCGTAAGGGCGGAACCGCCCTGAATCTGACCGGTACACGGTGCGACCAGAAAAACGGTCAGGACGGGCAGGCTGCGACCGGTCCTGTGCGGTCCCTGGGCGCCGCCCAGAAGGCCGTGGCTGGCATACGTCCATTTCCTGGCACTTCCGTTTATACTCCCGGGAAAATCCATCACCGAAGAGGAGATCACCGGAAGGACGCAAGCCCTGCAGCAGGCTCTTCGGGCATCTCTTTGGCAGCGCTGCCATGAGGCGCTGACGGCGTGTCTCCGACAATACATTCGATGCGTCGCCCGTCATGGCGATCGCCATCTGGACCAGCTCGGTCAGTTCGTGGACCGGCCGGCCCTGCTCAATAGCAGCCCAGAGCGCGGCCAGGGGACGGAAAACGTCCGTAACCTTTTGTTGGATGTTGGCCAGCATTCTATCCGCTCTCTTGGCATTGGCCAGGCCCTGGACATCCGACAAGAACGGGTCCACGCGTGGACATCGCGTTTCCTCCACGTCCGGTCGGGGACACAGTTTCCGCACCCGTCGACGCTCAGCGAAGGACAGGGAACCACGGCAGTGCTCCCGTAGGTACGAGGCCATGTGCGAGGGGGGAGACCATACAGAGTCGTCCACTTACCCCTTAGGATCGAAGCCCGCGCCGCTACCACGGCGATGCTCGTGGGCAGCCAAGTCGTCGGATGACGGACATGCGCCACTAGGACTGTCGGAGTCACTGTCGTCAGATTCTGACGTACCAGAGCTAGAACTAGTGCCAGAACTATCTCGGTGCCTGGTGAAACGGTGCGACTCGCGCCGTCTGGGTGACCCATGGCCATGTCGTCCCCGGGCACTCAGGCGGGACTCGTGCGTAGCACCCGAGCGTGACACTGACCGACATCTGTCCGCATATTGAGATCTAGATCTAGATCTACGTGTACGTGTAGCACCAGCCGATCTATGGCGAGTAGATCTATGTGTATGTCGTTCACATGAAGCAGAACGATAACGAGGGGGAGACCGTGAGTGGGGTGGAGATCTGTCCCGTGAGCATGATCTAGATCTATCTGTACGTAAATCACGTGACCCAGATACGTCAGTGACGTCACCCCTAATATGGCCCCGGCCGCAATTGCTGGAATGGCGGTCCGTGGAAAAACCGAGGCTTGCCGAACGACGTTCGGCCAATGAGACAAAACGAAAAGGCTCCCCGCCATCTACCCGAGAGTCATCCTGGTTCCCTTCCCTGTTGGAAGAGTTCCGAGCCTCCTCCATTTCTTGACCGCCAGAGGCTGCGGTGGTGCCACGACCAGTTTCTAATCCGCCCGTGGGTGCGGAATTTGAGGAAATTTGTATACCGTTCCCCGAAACGGTGTCTCCTATTTGTTTTCCGCGGGAGTGGGCGGATGCCGCGATGGCAGATTGTACCTCTGGCTGCACCAGGGTATGCAGCAAATCCAAAACAGTGTCCATCGTGGAGAGTAGTAGTAGTAGTAGATTTTATTATTTTACTAGGGGAGTCCCAACAGGCGTTGCCTTTTTACTGGGAACCCTAGGTGAATTTTTACCATGTTTACATACAGAGTAAGAGACGGGGCCTGACGGCAGTCAGTGGGAAGAGCATTCCATCTGTCTGCCGCCAGGAAAGAAATAGAACGCATGCCATATTGCGTAGAAACAGGCGGAAGAACTAATGCGCGCTGTGCCTGGCCGCGCGTGCGAGCCTGGTGTCCAGGCACAGCAGCCCTAAGCTGGAACAAGGATTGGAGAAGGGGACTAGCAAGATGTGGGGTCAAGCAGCGGTACACGAAAACATAGAGTTTAAGATTTGTGCGCTGTTCAAAAGAATAGAGATGATATTTGCGGAGAACAATTTCAGTAGACATCATACGGTCAAACCCAAAAACTTTCTTCATTGCTATGTGACTGACAGTCACGATTTTATTGAACAGGGTGGCGCTGAGACAGTGCAGATAAGCGTTACTGGCATAGTCGAGAGTCGATTGCACAATGGATAAATAGAACGTCCTCTTCGCTTTAGGTGTTAGGTTTTTTCGGCCATGTCTGAAGGCGGCAATCTTGCCGAACACCGCACCGCAGACCTTCTCGACTTGCAGCTGGAAGGTGAGATGCTCGTCGATGAGTAGTCCGAGATACTTCACGGTGGCTTCAGGGGTGAGGAGCTTGCCTTTACAAACTAGGGGGATTGGTAGATGCGGCACAGGTTGGCGTGGGCGCCGAAGGACCAGGAACTGCGTCTTGTCAGGGTTCATGAGAAGTCCTCTAAGTTGTCATCTAGGTAGAGCTCCAGAGCGCTAAGGTCATCCTGAAGATTTCGCAGCATGACAGAGAGGTCCGTTCCAATGACGAAAAAGGCGATGTCGTCGGCATAGAGCTGAGAAATACTGTTCCGAACAATCTGTGGAACCTTGCGGATGTAGACGCAAAAGAGGAGGGGACCAAGGACGGACCCTTGCGGAACTCCCCTGGTGCAGGGCACAGTCCCACCACGCTCCCCATTGACCACGACTTGTTGACTTCTGGAGGGATATTTTGGAAAAACTCGAAGAGGCATGCAATGCAAACTACGCAGAAAATGCAGTAAAAACAAGGCCGAGGAAGGACTGGCCGAGCATGCGTGTTATGGTGTAGGAACGAAAGAAAAAAAAAAAAAGCTTTGAAAACTGGTTATTTATGCAGTAAAAATGTAGGGCCACTACATGTACAGTGTTACATGGAGCGGAGCCTCTGATGTGCAATCTGTCTGGGCCTGCTGCAGTTGATCGATGCCAGCAGATCTGTAGGCATTTTCTCTGTGTGTGCCACAATGTAGAGAACCTCATCTACGCGTAGAAATCTGGACCCAAAACATGCGCAGCCGTAAACTCGAAACTAGCTACTATCAACTACTCTCAGTTTAATGCTGACCTGAATGATATGCTCGAGGACTCATCCTCATTTTCAACATTGGACAGTCAAACTTGCCATCTGCTAACGTCTATCGCTGCTGTTACTGATACGCATGCTCCATCTAAACAAGTTAGACTACCCCTCTGTCCCAAACCTAAGCCTCAACCGTGGGCAACACCAGAGTTACGGAAACTGCTGCAGCGCAGAACTACTCTGCATCGAAGAGTCCTTTCGCAGCCTGGGAATATGGTTCTTAAGCAACAGTATCGTTCTGTCAGACGCGAGGGGACGCTTCTGAGTAGGAGACTGAAATCCCGTTTCCTGATGCACCAGTTCTCGGCACTCCGACGAAATCCTAGAGGTCAGTGGGCTCTTCTTAACAGTCTGTCTGGCAGGCGGAAAGTAAGAAATCAGCCAATTGCATCTCTCAGTAGTCTGACAGAGACATTTGCTAACGTAGTGCACGATCCAAGCCGGCCTGCTGACATATGTTTACGCCCAGCCACCCAACAGCCAACTACTGCTGCTCGACTGTCCCATTTTCGACCCGTAACTGTGGCGCACATCACCACACTGCTCAAAGCAACAAACACAAGTAAGTCACCTGGCTCTGACAATGTCTTACCAGCCGTACTGAAGCATGGTCGTGATTCCATAGCAGTTTCTCTCACTGATATTATCAATAAATCTCTGAGCACAGGGTGCGTACCAGATATTTTCAAGAATGCCACAGTCAGCCCAGTTTTCAAATCAGGCGATGCAGAAAGCTCTACTAATTACAGACCAGTCTCATTATTGCCCATATGCAGCAAGATATTAGAACGAGTTGTCTTGGAGCAGCTGATTGCATTCTTTAAGTTACACAACATCATGTACGTGCCTGACAATCAATTTGCCTACCGTACCAACAGCTCGTGTGAGGACTGCCTAGCGCTAGTGGTCGACGAATGGCTCCAAGCCCTTGATAACAACGAGTACTGCGGCATAGTGTTTGCAGATATGAGCAAAGCTTTTGACCGAGTTAAGCATCAAGAGCTCATTGACGAGTTGAAGATGCTTGGCATTGCTGACACTGCACTTGC